TCCTCTTCGACGGAAACACACTTGCGGTAGGGCCCTTCATGCACCTTCTTGTACAGATTATCCCCTTCTAAGAAGTACTTTGAGGCCCGGCGTACCAACTTTTCCGCGGTATTTCTATCTTCAGGTCGTTCTCCTCGCGCCAACCAATTCCTAATTTCTGCTCTCCAATCAACCCTTTCCTCTACCGCCAGGATCTGGTCTATCGAGCTCTGGTCCATCTGCAGTGGAGTAATCGACCTAGAGTCGCACTCCGCCAATGAGTTGGCCATCTTGGCAAGAAGGTCTGCTCGGGTGTTCTCACTTCGCGGTATTTGGATGACTTCCCACTTGGTAAAGCCTTTGAGTAGCTCGTGCACCTTGTCTACGTACTTTCTCATCATGTCCTCTTTTATCTCGAACTCTCCTTTGATTTGCCCCACTACGAGCTGTGAGTCCGAGTGCAGTTGGACCTACTGACCTCTTGCGGCTAAAGTGAACTGTATGCCCTTCATCATCGCTTCATATTCGGCCTCGTTGTTCGAGGCGTGAAAGTTCAATTTTACAGCATACTCTAATATGTCCCCCTCCTGCGTGATTATTACCACCCCGACTCCTGCTCCTTCCATTGCGGAGCTGCTGTCCATGTATGTTTTCCACAGCCCCGGTTCTCCATTGGTGGTTAGCTCTCGAATTAAATCTGCTAAGGTCTGCGCTTTTATGGCCCTTCGAGGTTCGAACAGTAGATCATATTCGCCGAGCTCCACTGCCTACTTGGTGAGTCGACCAGATACATTGGGTCGACCCAGTGTATCTCCAAATGGCATGTTAGTGGGGACGATGACCGTGTGGTTCAAGAAATATGGTCTTAGCTTCCGAATTGTGATAATTAATGCCAGAGCCACCTTCTCTATGTCTGTGTATCGAACCTACGCTCGTTGCAACAATAGGCTTGTGTAGTATATGGGTCTTTGGTGTCGATCTTCCTCCTTTAATAGGACCGAACTGACCGCCACTTTCCCTACGCCCGTTGCACTAGTTCATCTCCCAGCTCCGGCTTCGACAAGAGGGGGAATTCTGCTAAGAACTCTTTGAGACGCTCAAATGCTTCTTGTGTGGCCGTCGTTCACTCGAACTTTGCTCCCTTCTTCAGGGCCTTGAAGAATGGGAACCCCTTCTCGGCAGCTTGGGTTATGAATCGGCTAAGACCTGCTAGTCGACCCGCCAATACTTGGGCCTCGCGACGGTTTTTGGGGGGCTTCATCTCTAGGACCGTCCGCACCTTAGCCACATTCACTTCGATTCCTTTTTCAGTGACAACATAGCCCAGAAATCGACCCATTTTCACTCCAAACTTGCACTTGGCTGGATTCAGCTTCATACCATACATCCGCAGGGTGTTGAAGTCTCCCTCAGGTCTTTAATGTGGTCGACAGCTCGCCTACTTTTCGCCAACATGTCGTCGACATACACCTCCATGTTTCGCCCAATTTGGCCCTTAAACATCTGGTCGACCAAGCGCTGGTACGTAGCCCCAGCATTCTTCAGACCAAAGGGCATGACCACATAGCAGTACGTTCCTTTGGCCGTAAAGAAACTGACCCTTTTCTGATTGTCCTCCGCTAATGGGATTTGATGATATCCTTGCGAGGCATCCATCATGCTCAAAAGTTCGCACCCTGCCGTCGAATCCACTAGCTGGTCGATCCTCGGCAGCGGGTATTGATCCTTGGGGCATACTTTGTTCAGGACTCAAAAATCCATACACATCCTCCATTTGTCAAGCTCTTTCTTCACCATGACCGCGTTGGACAGCCATTCCGGGAATTTAATTGGTCTAACGTGTCCTGCCCCAACAATTTCTCTACTTCCTTCTCAATTACCAAGTCCAACTCATGTCCGAAGTGCCTACGCTTTTGCTTTACAGGTCTCATCTTCTTGTCCACGTTGAGGCGATGGACCGCCAATTTGGGGTCTATACCGGTGAGCTCTTCGGGACTAAAGGCAAAGATGTCCACGAACTCTCTCAGCGTCTGCACCAATTTTCCCTGTATGTCGTCCGGCAGGTCCTTTCCCACACGGGTCGTCTTCCCTTCGACCAGCTCAATTTCGAGGAGCTCGTCCCGAGTAGCAACGTCGACCTTAACTTTCTTCTCCTGCTGTCCAATTATCTCTTCGGCCTTTCTTTTTCCTGACTGTCCTTCTTTGATAGTGACCTGGTAGCAGGATCTCGATATCTTTTGATTTCCCTTAACCTCCCCTACTCCACCTCTTACGGGGAACTTCAGCTTCCTGCAATAGGTTGAGATTACCGCCCTAAAGGTGTTCAAGATGGGTCACCCCAGTATCACGTTGTATGCTGATCCAGTTTCAACAACCAAAAATCTGATCATCTTCACCTGCCTTAGGGGTGTTTCCCCTAATGCCACGGGGAGGACAACTTCGCCGAGGGGGACTATCTCCCCGCTGCTAAAACCGTACAAGGCCGTCTGCACAGGTTGTAGGGGTAGCTCTAGCTTCATCTTGTCGAGGCAGTGCTTGAAGAGTATATCCACTGAGCTTCCCGTGTCTACAAAAACGCGCTCGACATCAAAATTTGCTATCTCCGCCGTTATGACCAACGCATCGTTATGGGGCGCTGCAACACCCTCAAGGTCCGCTGGGCCAAAGTGAATAAGGGGTACCTCCTCCGCCAATTGGACTTCTTCTCCCATCGGCTCTTCTGATGCCCTCACATACCTCCGTTTTGCCCGATTCGAGTCACCATCCGTCGGTCCCCCGGAGATCATGTGAATTACCCCTTTCTTTTGCTTGTCCTTGTCGAGATCTTCACGATCATCTCGCCCCCTCTTCTCGTTCTCCTTCCTTTCCCCTTCTGGGTCTTTATCCCTTAGTACGAACTCCTTCAAATGTCCTGCTCGTATTAGTCTTTCTACCTCGTCCCTCAATTCCTTGCAGACATCAGTGGTGTGACCATACTCTCTATGATATCGACAATAGAACTTTGGTCGCCCAATAGGTACCTCATTCTTTCTTGGCAAGGGTCGAGGTCGATCTAACATCCCCAGATTACTCATTTTCTCTAACATCGCGAACTTGCCCCCTTTGCGCATTCAAGGGTGTATAACGGTCGAACCTCTGGCCCGGTTTCCACCCTTTTACGTCTACCTGCTTGCTCTCTCGCCCCCTTTTTTTTGTCATCGGGTCGAGGGGGTCGTTGCTCCTGCTTCTTTTCCCTCCTACCATCTCTTACGCGGAAATCTGCTTGAGCCTCTTCCATCATCATATATTTACCTCCTCTCTCCAATAATTCATCGAAACTTTGGGCCGGTCTTTTGGATAAAGAATCTCGAAAGGGTCCAGGTCGAAGTCCACAGGTCAATCCGCCAGCCTTTATCTCTTCTGCAGCGGTTGGCACTTCGACGCACGCGCGAGTGTAGCGGGCTATATAGGCTCGTAATGTCTCTTCCTCCCTCTGTTGCAAACTTATCAGAGATAAGTACGTCTTCTCATGTTTTCTCGCGCTCGCGAACTGGTTGGTGAACAACGAACTGAGGCCTCGAAAATCTTTAACAACGCCTGGTGCTAGCTGATGGAACCAATCTTGGGCAGCACCCTTCAGTGTGGTCAGAAAGGCTCGACAGCACACCGCGTCGTTGTACCTATGCAACACTGCTATGTTCTCGAAGCTCCTCAGATGTCGGGCCGGGTCAGTGGAGCCATCATACGTCATGGTAAGTTCTCGAAATCCCTGCGGCAGCTCCGCTCTCAACACCTCGTCTGCAAATGGGTGACGTGGATGGCATGGACTTTGACGCCCATTGACCTTCTCCTGAAGCTCGCGCAGCTGCTCCGCCATGCGCTCTAAGATCGAGTCTCCGGGCGGTTGTGGTAAGGCCTCTGATGAGTGGACCGATTGCTCTGGCTCGTGCTCATGTCCTCCTACGACCAATTGCTGCCCGACCGGTCGAGTTGTTGCTTCTGGTCGAGCTATCACCTCCCGCGCCTTGGGTCAAGCCTCTACCCCTTGAGTTCCGGGTCGAATAACTGCTCCCCTAATTGGCGGTGAGATTGATGCCATTCTCGCTTCTACCGCGGCTGCTATCATCCTCTCCAGTGCGCTGGGCGTGATGTATGGGCTGCTCCGGGGTGAGAAGTTGGGTATTTGCTCTGGTCCCCTCCGTCGTCTCTTCGTGGAGTTGCGTTTCCTCTCCGTTTGTCCCATAGCGCGATACGTCTGCGCCCGGTCTAGTCGGCGTCTCCATTACACCTGTTTGCACTGGACTATTTGCGATTGCTCCAGACAGCTCCAGTGGCCGCTGAATAGCGGGAGCTGGGGTCTCCGGATGCTTGTACAACCCACCCAGCGGCGGCCCCGCCCCTACAGGATGCTTGTACAACCAAGAGTTATTCTCTTCCCTCTGCACCTGTTCTTTTTCCTCCTCCATTTCTTCACTTCGTTTTCCCCTTCTTAACTTGTTTTTCGATTGCTATGTATGAGATACTACCAGATCAACGCTGGTTGAGCTAGGGTTCCCCAAAGACGGCGCCAATTTGATATGGTCCGAGATGAGTGGCTCCGGTTTTTCGAAAGGTCTTCTCTAGTTTGAACGTGGATCTATTGGTTCGGTGCGGGCCAAGTCCTTGAGCTCGCCGGTACCTGCAAATACGCCGGAATTGCTCCGGCGCAAGACTCTCCGACGCCCAAGTCAATATCTCGGAAATAGGAAAGATTGTAATGTGTAATGAATGTAACAGTGTTTGTATTGAATGATGTCTTACCTACTACCTGTGGAATTTCCTCTTTATATAGTGGTTAATTACGCCTTCAACCGGTCGACCCTTCGGGCCGCAAACATGGGTTCGACCCTTGGACCTTCGACCCTTGGCACACCAGGTGTCTTCGACCGGTCGAGCCTTCGGGCGGTCAATATGTGTTCGACCCTCGGGTCCCCCAACCCCCGGTCCGCAATAAGCTCTTAACTTCGACCGGTTTGACCTTTTGTATTGTTATCCCTATCAAGATGGATGGTAGAAATTTAAGGAATTGACATCGTTTTACAAATATGACCATCTAAATTGCACCTATTATTACTACATTTCAAAATATGAAGGCTTATTTGACGACCTTTATGTAAAACCTAGGTTTTTAGAAAAATACTCCCTCTGTTTCTTAATACATGTCGTTGCAGAATGTCAACATTTTTGCAAATTAGTTGTCGTTAGAAATATTTTTTTCATTCTTTCAACTTTATCCTCATTAACAAATTTAATTGTTTATCATTATCTTTAAAAACCAACCATTAATAATTCAAACACTAAATTTATGATGATTAATATATTAGATTATTACACATCTCATGAATATCGTAATTTAGAAGTTTTAAATTAAAACAACATCTAAAAAGAAACAGAAGAAATAGTAAATAACCACAATATATTCAAGAAAAAAAATAATCTATTTTAGTACCTAACTTTACTCTCTTTTCATATTTGGTATCTCATACATACACTGAGATTAATCGATTTTGTAACATAACATTTGGTCTGTTAAGTCAGTTTTGATTCAACGCGCTACTTTTTCCATTAACATAATTAACATTATCTTCTTCTCCGAACATGTCGTGTCTTTAGTCGGCTGGTCGGCTATTTGACAGTGGATTTCACCAAATCCCTCCCTATATATTAATTGAGAACGTTCTGAGTCTATGTGGCAGGCTCGCATGCTTCAGGATCTTATGTGGCAAAAATACATGCTTCGTTATTAGGCTTGGGTAGATTTAGTTACTTCTAATCCTAATATATTTAGGTTCGGATTATCTATAATGTGTTGATTATTTATGGTAAGGGTGGGCGCCGGCCGAGACGGTCTTGGATTTGACTTGTCCGGATACACATCCCACTTTTATGAATCCGTCCATGAACGAGGCACCATCGCCACCCATGTAATACATAGGTGTTGTACTAGTCATATATTATTTTAAAATCTCGATTCGATCTTTCCTATGACACATTATATTTCATCATACAATTACCCAAAATTCGTCGAATTATTGTTAAATTTTCTAATAATATACAACTAGTGCAATACCCGTGTATTACACGGGTGTTGAATTAGAAAGTTTTTGTAAAAAATATTATTTTTTTATTTTTTAAAAATTAAAATAATTTAATTTTATATAAAACACTACTTTGTGTGTCCATTAAATTGTCAAATTATATTTTTTTTTAACATAATAAGTAAACACCTGTACATTAAATAAAAATGCCAACCCGTGTTGAATTTGTTTACTTATATCATATAATAATATCGATATTATTTACTATTACATAAGCAAAAAAATATATATCTTAAGTAAATAGAAATATTATGGTGATATGTATATGCATAAGTGTAGAATATGTTTATTTAATATTATGAAAAATATTAATTGATAAATAATTTTATTTTCTAATTAATTGTAATAAATAATTTTATTATTATTATAAAGATAAATATAATTTATTTATTTTATATATACAATATGTATATGAAAATGTCAACCCGTGTTGAATTTTTTTACTTATATCATAATAATATCGATATTATTTACTATTACATAAGTACAAAAATATATATCTTAAGTAAATAGAAATATTATGGTGATATGTATATGCATAAGTGTAGAATATGTATATTTAATATTAAGCAAAATATTAATTAATAAATAATTTTATTTTCTAATTAATTTTAATAGATAATTTTATTATTATTATAAAGATAAGTATAATTTATTTATTTTATATATACAATATGGATGTCAAATCGAAGCTCATCAAAGGATGATTAATTTGATATATTATATATGTAAAACCGATAAGAAATACAAAAGTTATCAACTTTTAAAATATATTTGCAATTCAATGGTTATAATAGGAAATGATATTAAAATACAATTAATACAAATATTAATTTATATCCAAGCCTAACTCCAAAGCATGATATTTTGTCAAATAGGATTCCAAAGCATGAGAATTTGCCACGTAGACTCAGCATATTCTGAAATTATATATAGAGGGGTTGTGCCTTAAAGTTTTGGCAGATTGCTAGCGAAAATCCAATCATTTGATTTTCATATGTTTCGAAAACCATTTAATTGAAGAATCCAATGGAGTCTCTTGATCCTCAATTGAAACTTCCAATTGTCAGAAATAAAATAAGGAAGTTACTAGATTTACAGCGAGCTATGTGACATGCATAGTTCAATCGAAGATTGTCGACGAGATTGTCTAAAAATGATGTGTGAATTCTTATTTTATTTCTCATTTTATGGGCTACACTGACGTTATACCAATATTATGTTTTGAGTTCATATTTGATGTTAATATGATTGCCAATTTCTACGATTTTCTTTTCCATTTTTTTCAAGTTTTTTTTTTCTATTTTTCCAACAAATTTCAAGGTCACAGTGAGCTTAACAAAAAAATTCCCGACTGTATTAGTTATTTTCATAATTTTTCAGCATTTTAAACAAAATTGATTAATATACAAAACATTGGATATCAAAATTAATTAAGTAAAATTAATAGGACCCCAAAAGTGAAAAGTGGATAAATTGGAATATTAAGGGGGTTGTATTCAATTAAGACTTTTAGTGATTTTTAAGACTTTCAAAGCTTTGGGGTATTCAATTAAGACTTTTAGTGATTTTTAAGACTTTCAAAGTTTTGGGGTATTCAATTGAAATTTTTTGAGACTCTCCAAAAGTTTACATGTATTCAATTAAAACTTTCCAAGAATCTCAATAAGTTACCCGTTATTCAAGTTGGTAAGATTGTATGAGACTTTACAAAGGAAAATGATTCTTTGAGACTTTTTTACCAAAATATAAAGAAACCGATGCTTGTGTAAATCTCACCAAAATTGTGAGATTGTTGAACGTGAAGGCTATTCTTTCTCTCGTCTGCAAGGTACTCTCATACTTTTTCTCTAGGGTTTATAGAATTTGAGATGCTTTTATATTATTGTCTTTTGCAGTGTATGTCATGAATAATGTGTGTGTTCAGAAATTTGAGATGCTTTTGAAAAATCTCACAAAAAGTGAAGAGTCTTCACGTTATTCATAGTTAGTCGCACGAATCCGATTTTTTTTTTTTTTTCACTAAAAAAGTTGCAGATACAAAAAATGAGGATAATGTGCCCGGCGAGTGCAACTAATTAAGCACATTGTAATTAATGAAATATGGTAAATTACTTCTGTTTTTGGGTTTCCTCTGTTTGTTCGAGTATCTGAAACGATACCACTTGGGTGCAAATTTATAGGCTTGTTCAATGGTTTAGTGGTTCTGGGTTTCTTTTCATAATTTATCAACTATTTACATCAAGTAATTTAAAATGAATCATGTTATAATGAGTTTTTTGTTAGCTTAGCATTTCAACATATTGCATTATCAAGTAATTTACAGGTTAAATTTTGTTCGGAATTGTGTTTGTTTATAATTTTTTGATGGAAACATCATGTTTAATTTTATTTTCTTATGTATTTTTTTTCCTATCATTTTTTTTGTTGGAAAAATGCAATGCTGCTGTCTATGATATAGAATATTAAAAAAAAATTCTCAAATTGCTCAGGACTTTAATTACATTACTTTTCTCCTTGTTTTGATATCTTTGGTTTGAGTTTATGGTGAATTTAATCATAAAAATGTTGCCTTTGCTTTATGCACTTATAATAACAATTAATTATTTTATGTCCACGTAATGGTTTCTCGTGGATTGTGGATTTCTAAATCGGCGTCAATTTTTGGCTCCTTTTCGAGGTACTAGATATCACCTTCAAAATTTTTCTGGTCAAGGGCGTCATCCTGAAAGTGTAAAGAAATTGTTTAATCTCCGTCACGCTTCTTTGAGGAATGTGGTGGAGCGAATATTTGGCATATTTAAATCTCGTTTCACAATTTTCAAAGCAGCACCTCCTTTCCCATATCGTACACAAGCAGAGCTGTCTTAGCTTGCGCAGGATTACATAATGTTTTGCGCAAAGAGTGTCGGTCTGACGAATTTCCAGTTGATATTGAAGATGGAGTTTCAACAGAAGATGAAGCGCAAAATTTTGGACCATATTTTGAGAGTCAAGAAACTGAAAGAGAAGCTGCAAATGCGTGGAGATTGAGTTTGGCAACGAACATGTGGAATGATGTTGGAAATATTTGATGTATTGTTCATTTCATTTTTGCTCTTTTTTTATTTTTCTAATTCCCGTACAATGTTAAAAAGATAACTTTTGTACTCTTTTGGTTCGATTGTTGAATGTTTTTCATTCTTGCTTCCATATCGATTTTATGTTATAATATTTTTTTCCTCTTATCTTCATTCTTGCTCTGGATAGTGCTTAATATCATGACACATTTTAAATTAATATTATAATTTTTTAATTACTAATTTGACTTGATAGATATTAGTTATTATGCATATAATATTTTTATGAACATTTCATACAAATATATTATTATATTAAAAATTATCTAAATGTCTTGAAAAGTCTCAAAAAGTTCATATTGGAAGTATTAAAAAGTCTCCATAACAATCCCACAAAATCCACCAGTCATTAAAAGTTGTATAAAGTCCACAAAAGTCATCTACTTTAAAAAGTCTTAAAAAGTTATTAAAAGTCCTAATTGAATACACCCCAATACAAAACGTTTCCATCAATTGAAGCTATTAGGTATCGAAGGAAAGGTAGGGCAGGGCAGTTTCACTCAAAATCCCTGACCAGAAAAGATAAAATAAAACATTCTTTTTAAAAACTGTAACTAACAAAGAAAAAAATGTTCGACATTCTATTCTATTCCTACTCAAACGAGATATGCAACATCTACAAAAATGTATGTGAAATAAAACAAAAAAAGAATTAAAAAAATTGAAGTAAATTTCCTCAGCTACAGCAGTAACAATCCCTGATATGAAAAACCATATCAAGATTCTGCAGAATCACAATTTAACCCAATCCTTTGCACATACGACTGCCTGCAATGTCCTGGGACACAACGAACTTCCATACTGTTCCAACCTTTTCTCTCTATCGTCAAACACATTTTCTGGAGGAATGGCAATAAAAGGAACCGACAAAACATCACAAGCTATCCTTGACAAAATCGGATATCTCGACCCACACATCCTCCACCAGCCCAAGACATCAATCTCCTCATCATACGGCTCCAAGGGCTCCTGTAGATAACGATCCAACTCAAGATTCATGGGTTGTTCCTGAAAAACGTTTTCCGACTTCATGTTGTTTTCATGAAAAACGTGCTCCTCTACACATCCCTCGTCTAGTTCCGACTTTATGTCGGGATCCTCCATGAAATCAGAAATATCCACATCAAAATTCAACAAATCATCACCTTCAGTTAGAAGAATATCCTCATGTGGTGAAACAACCTCTGACTTAACAAGATTCTCGGCTTCATACTCGACATAAAGCTGATGCAAGCTCTCACCAACCGTCGAAGCCCAATTCCTGACATCCTGACCGTACATGCACAAAAGTTTCGACTCCACAAGCTCCACTTTGATCCTCGGGTCCAGCACAGCTGCAGTTGCCAAGACCAAGAAATTTTCCTCCCAATACTTAGTAAATTTCTCGTGCAAAGGCTTAATAAGCGTGCTAATAAACGGGTCCTGGCCAAAAGCAGCATGCATCAGCTCAAGATATATATCGCTCGCTTCACGGAAAAAAAAATTGGCCGGCAGGTAAAGGGGCGAGGTTAATTTACGGGCAGCCTCTTGAAATATTTTCAAGAACGTGCACAAGATCTCGACCCATCTCCATTCTTCCATGGATGGGGTGGAATTGTAGTTCGGATCAGAAGTATCAAAACAGGAGAAAACCTGTTTAACTTCACAGGCAGCCGTCAGCATTTGGAAAGTGGTGTCCCATTTGTGCACGTCATCCAAAATTAGGTCACTTGTGCTCGGGACTTGGAGAAGCTGTTTTAGTTTGTTAAATCTCTCCTCGTTGGCCCCCGAGGTTTTGATATACTTCACGCACTTGCGTACTTTCTCTACAGACTCCTTCACGGACCATATTGCATCCCGTGCAAGGGTCCTCAACACACATGCATAGCAACTCTTGATTAAACGCTGTCCCTTTAGAATAACGGGGTTCTTAAAGGAGAGTACGTTTCTGAGATTCTCTCTGGCATTTTCGTTCAGACAACCAGAGTTGAGGGTGACAGTAAAAACCTTGCCCACCAAGCTCCACTCGTTTAGGCAAGTCACGGCGCCATTAAAAGCCTTCTCGGAATTGGGAAAATTTACAGCTGATAAATTCAATACCCTTCTTTGCAATTTCCAGTCGTTATCGGTGAACTGACCCGTTAGGAGAAAGTAGTCCAGGCCCTGGGTTGAAGTCCACATATGCAACATCAGGTTAACCTGTCCAGGTATTCCTGTGAGAAGATCCACAACCTTCTGCTTTCCTCTGTCGTAAATTGCCATGATTTGCTCTTGCACTGGGCCCACACTGTTAATATTAAACTGAGGCTTAAGGCTCCGGGCAAAGTCAATAAATCCAGAGTGCTCGGCCATGCAGAGTGGATAGTCGTGCTGAATTATTAGTTTCGCGAGTTCATGGCTGAAATTACTAGCATTATTTTTACTAGTACTGTTAATAACATTATAACTGCTGCTATGGCCATTCAATTGGATTCTGGCTACTCCATTGCCGGCCCTATACCGTTTTCTTTGTAAGTTGGACCCATTTGCAGATATATTGGTTCTTGGAGTTTGCGATTCTGGACTCAGTTCGTCTTTCTCCTTAGTGTGCCGGACAACAGGGCATATTCCCGATGCAATGTGCCGTTTTAGGTGACTGGTGCCTGCTAACTTTGTGCCAGATATGTAGGCGAACGATCTCTTGCACTGATTACATGATGCCCTGGTGCAGTTGGGGTTAACAGTCTCGATTGTGAAGTGGTCCCAGACCATGGACTTTTTCCGCCTGCGTTTGTCGTTCTTGGGCTGGTCATCTAAGCCAGGATAGGCGGTATCAGTAATAGATAATTCCATCAATGCTGTGATGAAAGACAAAAACAGAGCATAAGCAAACACGTGGTCAAGGATATATTAATTTTTGCTAAGGTACAGTACCAAAAGTGCCATAAAAGGCGTACTCAATTCACAGAGAAAATCAATTATCTTTCCGAATGCTTTTGTTTCTCTCCCTCACTTCTTATGTTTGTGTATTACAATATTAACATCATAAGAGGGTATTTAATAGCAATGTATACCGCAAAACTATGAATTGGTAAAGTGCCGAACAATTTACAGTTGTGACTTCCAGATGAATTTTAACAATTCATGTTAAGTCTCAACAACTACAACAAAGAGTTAACATGTGATGTGAAAAAAATGTATATTTACATCCAAGACAGAAAAAGTTGAGTCCAAGGATGTGATGTGAAAAAATGTATATTTTACATCCAAGACAGAAAAAGTTGAGTCCAGCAACTCTTCTGAATTAGGACTCTTTTGAAAATCGTAGATACTTCACCAAATCCAACTTTGAATGAAATTATCACTCAAAAAAGCACTACCAAACTGAAACATGGTTCCACAATAATGGAAGCAAAGCTGCTATCTGCTATGTAATGATAAATTTTGAAGATATCCTAAGTATATATTTCAAGGAAATCCCGAATTAATTTCCAAGATCGCTGCATCATCCCTAATCCAAAGGGTGGTGAAAGAAATATGCCTTGAAATCTGGAATAACTCCAAATCCAAAAGTATGCATCTGCTAATGTTGATATATGTATTTCTTCTAGGACAACTAGTTATATGAATAAAACCTGATATAGATTCAAGGAACTCGATTGTACTTCATCCAAAAGTAAAAGTTCGGTTGATAAGGCAATCAACTTCTAATATAAGACCGCAAGATCACCCTTTGCAGGAGATACAACCACAAGGGTATGATTTTAACACTACAAACATTCACAAAGATGGCATACACTGTAACTGTATATATCAATTTACGTCAAAAACAAGGACAAGTTCCAAAAAATAAGAGTGAAATTAAACTTTACGGGCCGCAGGACGAAGAATTTTTTTCCAAAGGCGAAACTTAAAATATCACACAGCAAAACATAAATTTCAAAAGAGGAGAAAATCATAACGAACCGTGAATTGATCAGTAGGACCAACCCTAATTCTTGTTATCGAATAGATGAAGAGAAATCAAGAAACGAAATTATAGCCGACGTCAGTACTCCGGCGGCGCAGCGAGATTCTCCGCGTCGGAAAAAATAATCAGGGGTTTAGGGTTTTACGAGATTTTGTTGCTCCTTTTAACCTTTACCTTTTTCTTTACTTGAAAAATATTGAAGGAGGCTTTTAAATAGTGGCGGCCAATTTGGATGGTTCCTAAATTAATGGGTTTTAAATGTACGTATCATGTTTCAAAAATTATAAATCATTTAAAAAATCGGAGGGTTCATAAATTAATGGTTACAAACTTTTCAAAGTTGTAATCTTTATGGCATCTTTTCTTTTTGACTTTTAATAAAAAAATTATTTTAAATATATATATTCTAATCCAAAAATTCAATCATGTTAAATATATATATATATATATATATATATATATTGAACGCTAAAAATATTTTTTAAATTGCATACCCAATCAATTAATCTTAATTTTTTTAAAATTACTACGTTTATTTTTTATAATATGCATAAAATAAAAATAAATAGTTCATCTTTGGATATATAATTTATAATCTTAATATACTATCATTTGGTGTAGACATATGAATCATAAAATATTTTTATTTCATAAAATTAAGTATTATATTTAAAGAAAATAAGGAAATTACTTTGGATCAATCGGGTGATTGAATCAGGGTACTGCCGACTTTGATTGAATTACTTTTAGGTGATATTTAAAATAGTCAAAAAACTTGACATAACTTGGTTGGTCCGAGGTAATTAAGTTATGTATCAGTTTGACCAGACCAAATTGATTATTGAACCTAAATATAAATTTTAATATTGAAAATACTTTATTACGTGAATGTGATGTCGTCCAAACTTCAAATAATCATATTAACAATACTTTTATGACAACATGATTAATGATTTATGAATATTTATATATCATTTTATTATTATTTATGTGAACAAAATATTTATTTCATTATCATTTTTATTAATGTACGGTAAATATAAGGTTTTCAGAATCGCACCGTCTTGTGGTTGTTCAGATTTTAATACATAATACTTTAATATATATATATATATATAGTACTTTTTGTAATAAATTTAAATAGAAAGTGTTACTTAAATATCCAAACAATTTATAAATTCAAATGTTTAAACTAATTGATAAACAATTTATAAATCTCTATTTTATTTAAATATGTAATTTTATTTAAAATATTTTTTCATGTAACAAAATTTGTTTAGAAAATCGTATCGATCTTACCAGTCCAACATACTGGTGTTGGCGGATTCGATAGCAAATATTTTATTCAAGCACACTAAATCGGTTATAAACCGGTTCTCAGTCCATCCGGTCGGACTGTGTCCAACCCGATTTAATTTATAAATAATGGATAAATCATGATTCATGTTATTTATTTATTTAATTTATAATACAATCAAAATATTATTTTCCCGTGCATCGCACTGGCCACGTACTAGTTGGTATAATATAATGACATAAAAATAGACAGTTTTGGTATGAAGTCATAGAATGATTCTCTCTCATTCTTATTCATATAATTAGTATACTTTTCAAAAATTTGTGTTCCTACCCATGATGCACGAGATATAGTATAAAAAAATATTTTATTATTAAATTATTTAAGATAATATAAAGTATGCAATAATATAATATTTATTTAATTATTTGATTTTTAATTTTCTAATTTATTTTTGTAGGTATGAATTTTATTAGTTATTAGTTTATAAAATATTATAATAGTATAAGTTTTAAAGATATGATTGTATACAAATTACTTGCATATACTTTGTATAATTATCGATTATATTAGTCTTATAACTTTTTTTTTGTTTTTTCGGAACGATAGACTTTCAATATAAGAAAAAACACATATTTACAAACTAGAGAACAGCTAAACAGTCAAATAAGCCAGCTACTCAACTGAATTTAGTTGCGATGACTAACCACAAGCAGATAGCCCGAGGCAGCCTAGAACCAATCTAAACGCAACACACTAGAAGAACAAACACAACACTACAACGACAAAAGTTCCCAACGGGAGAATAACACAGTTCCGAACAAGAAAATAACACAACTCCCAGCAGGAGAAAATAAACTACACCCACAAACAGAAAGGCACACAAACTAACAATAGAAAAACACCAAACACACAAAACATTACTACAACAACAGCTAAAAACTAAACTACAACTAAACTAAAACCCTCTCAACTGAAGAGGCTCCACTCCCAAGCACTCTGATAAATCCGGCACCCTAGGTAACCCTCCCGGAAAGAACAGACCCTCGGTCCAAACACGGGTCTAGAAACTGCCTAATGCCTAATGTTGTTATATGAAACTTAACAACGATATTAACAAGGGTTTGAGATGTAAAATGCAGTGAATCTATTAGATTTTGCCATATAATCAGATCAAGATTTAATACGGGAAGTCGATTTATTTTCAAACTGAGTTGTTTCTGCATATGAGTTTTCAATGTTCGGAAAAAGATCCTCGTACAAGAGTTAATTCTGCTATTTATAGTACTTTTTTTGCTCGATGTTCGAGGTTGGTTTGACCGCATTTAATGCAAAGTGACTTTATGGTAGCGGTTGTTTTGCAGGTGGGCCCGTAGGTCATGATTGTGGCACATGTGACGGGCAGTTTGGGCAGTTAGACTTGTAGGCGCCTAGTCATCAGTTTTGATCTCAGTCTCTCTTGACGTCGGTCACCACGGAACCAAGTCAGTTTTTTATTCGGTCTTAGCCGAATTCACTTCTTACCGAGTTTAATCCATGTTTAGCTTGAATTTGATGATTAAACTTCTTCTTAATGTCTTTAAACCTGACTAGTCAAGTCAGTTACCAACACCTAACTAGAACCGGACCAAAAGGATCCAAAACTTCCAAAAGAGGCCACCACAGAAATGGTACAGAAGACCTGCACCCCGGTTCCCCCAAACTATTTGGCAACGACCACCCAAAAAAGATCGAAGAAACCCCCGCCGGCACCCCCATACAGCCAACACCAGAGCCAAATACATGAGACAGGGAAACCAAAGTAAAAGTCAAAGAAAATCAACGACCCCCACAGTCGGCCATCAAATCTGCCGCCCTAAGCAGCCCGGCAACCCTACGGCCCTCCCACCATGGCCATCTGTTAACTGAGGAAATCTAGACGGTGAGTACCGTCGTATCCCATCGTTGCAACCGGCCCTAGGCACCAAACACCAACCATATGAAGAGAACCGAAGCTCAATCACCAACTCCCAGCCTGCCCTAGGTAAATCAGACTACCCTCTCCCACCGCAACACCCGATGGACGAAGCCCAAGAGCCATATCTTCCGATCGGACCTCAATTCCCAACCCAGAAATCAAGAGTCCGGAGAGTGCCACAGTCACGACCAACAAACTAGCCACCGGCAGGAGCGCCGGCGCCAGACCCCACTCCTCACCGACAACCGACAATCGACACCACCAACACAGCCCGATGCCCGTGTATTACACGGGTCTTTAAAAAAATATGTGTACGATAATTTGTAAAAATATATATTAATATTCCAAAGTGAAAAAATAAATATACAAAAAGTAACAAAGGAATTTGTTTGTGATTCTCTCGTTGAGAGCAGGGTTCCCAATTCTCT